GACCTCAAAATTACTTATATGACAATGCGCTACTAAATATACAACCAATTTTATAGAGTCAGCGATGACTGAGCACTTAGAGTTACTGCATATCCTTAACTCGGATAGACTAGGTTTCTTTAGCACTCACCGAAACACAGCTCCAGTCGTACGTAATCCAGTTTTGACTTTCCCCATCTCATCCACATACCTTAGAAAGCATTAACACACACACACACCAACCTACAGATATGATGACTCCATTATTGCAAAAGGCCTGGAAGGGGCGAAAGGTGCCTACTTACTGGAGGAAAGGTTACCTCGTGAAACTACCAAAGAAAGGCGACTTTCGCCTCACTCTGCAAGAACTGGCGAGGAATCATGCTCTTGTCGACGCCAAATAAAATCCTGAGTCGCATCATCCTGGAGAGAATAAAGGACACCCTGGATACAGAACTCCGACCAGAACAAGCTGGATTCAAGAAAGGCGAATCATGTACTGACCAAATTGCAACTCTACGCTTCATCATCACAGAACAAAGCATGGAATGGCAATCAGTCAAACCTCTACCTCAACTTTATAGACTTTGAGAAGGCTTTCGACAGACAGCGTTGACCGCGAAGTTATTTGGAAACTACTCGAGTACTACGGTGTGCAGCGCCCAAATATTCACCAACCTTATTCAACAGCTGTATGACAACGGCACATGTCAAGTGATACACAACGGAAAACTCAGTGAGGCGTTCGGAGTAAACACAGGAGTCAGATAAGGCTGCCTGCCTATCACCAATGATATTCCTAATTGTGGTTGACTGGATTATGTGTCAGACAGTGGCTGGGAAACGAGAAGACAGGGATATCCTGGACCGAAGTGAAGAAACTAGAAGACCTGAATTTCGCGTGTGGATGATTTATGCTTGATGTCAGATAAAATCGAAGACTTACAAGCGAAAACCGACCGACAAACTGGTCGAAGAAGCAGCCAGCGAATACAGGACTCCAGGTGAACATAGACAACATGGAGGTTATGAAAATAACCAACCAAACAACAACAACAAAAGCACCAACCAGCGCCAATCACCATCAACAGGAGGGATTTGAAAGAGGTTACTTCATTCACTCACTTATCTAGGGAGCATTGTCTCAACTACAGGAGGAGGAACGGACGAGGATGTCAAATCGAGCGAGAATCGGGAAAGCGAGAAACACATTCATCATCAACCTGAAACCAATCTGGAGATCTTCGTCACTCAGTATCAACAGCAAAACTCGGTCGGATTTTCAATACAAACAACGTCAAATCAGTCAGTTCTTCTATACGAATCAGAAAATTGGCGGGCGGGTCACAAAGAATATTTCCAACAGCCTGTTGCAGACCTTTATCAACCAACAACTGTCTTCGCTGGTTCCATACTGAAGATCAGATGGCCGGGCCGGGAAGAATCACCAGTAACAAGAAACTATGGGAACAAACAAAACAAGATCCAATCGCCAACCAACAAATATGCAGGAGAAAGTGAAGACGGATTGAACACTCAGTCGCTGAGGTGGCCGGTGGGTGACATTGCGCGCACGTCAGGCCTTCGCTCGGGTGGAACCAGACCGAAAGGGAAGCGGCGAGTGGGACGTTAGTGCGAGGGTGACATGGAGGAGATCGTGTGAAGAGGAGTTGAAACAGTATGGACGGACTAACATGGATGCAGATGAAAAGTACAGCAGAAGCATGACAGAAGCAAGTGGAGATGTGCAGTTGAAACCCTATGTTACACTAGGAACTCAAGGGAACAATAGTAATAATAAACCTAAAGACACAAAGTTATCCACTAAAGCAGGTACAGCCAATGTTTTAACAATACTTCCCGGTCAAACAGAGTAAACTATATCTTTTAAAAGGAAACATGGTTACATCAACCACAATGTACCACCTATGGAAATAGTGATCTTTCTATGCAACGAACTCATAAGACGACGAAACATCGAGGTTGACATTCCTATATCTTTTCTGATGAAAGAGCTTCTCTTGGATTTGCACAATGAATATCCACTTTTTATTTAATAAGGAACTATATAGACAAATCGACAGTGTGACAATGGGGTCACCACTAGGACACCCATTCTAGCCGACATTTTCATTGAGAAACTATAGAATGGGCCTTTGAAAGATGTTATTGATGAACCTGAATTCGATTGCCGGTACGTGGATGATACATTTTTGATTATGAAAAATGAGAAGGAAGCAAAGAACATCCTGGATGAATTTAACGAGGATCATACTGCAATAAATTTTACAATCTAGAAAGAAAAAGTCTCTAGTATTTCATTTCTAGACGTCCTTATGACCAGAAAAGAGGATGGCACAATAAAAAGTGTATATAGAAAACCTACATCAACGGGTCAGTACACACATTTTCTCAGCTTCATACCCTCGAAATAGAAACGCAATCTGATAAAGTGCTTGGTTCACAGAGCAAGAGCAATTTGCTCGGATGAATGTCTTGAGGAGGAACTTAATAATATTAAACGGATGCTAAGGGAAAATGGTTATCCAGAAAAGTTTATTGCTAATAATGTGAATCTAGAATCAAAGTAGCCCAAGTTACCAACAGTTCCAAAAAAGGCCTTATTCTTATAAATGCAGTTCCTTGGGGATAACACCAGCGAGATACTAACACAGTGACTTGGAAAGGTGGTGAAATGAGCATTCCCTGCTGCCGAATTACGCTGTGTCTTCAAAACCACCCCTATTTTTGCGTTCGGGAGTAAAAGATCAACTGTCTAATTTCGCCTCTCCCATGTGTATGTATCAACTAATTTAACTGCTCCTGTGGAGTGAGCCAGTTACATAGGCCGTACAATTAGGCGTGTTTCTCGTCGAATTTCCGAACATCACCCTGTGTGGCTGGTTAAGTAAAGGACAAACAAAATCTATTTGGAGCGCTATTCTGTCTTATCGTGTGGATACAGAACACAAGATTGATGTTAACCAGGCAGATTTCAGGGTCATTTACCGCATACCTACGAATCTCAATTTCGCCTTAAGAGTTCGACTACTAAATATTGCTGAGGATGGCTGTTGGGATCTATATTAAGAAGTCTAATATGTACGTCCAAAAGAAGTTAGCTCAGACATTATCCTTACCCACTTGACCATCTAGGTTTGAATGATCCCGAAACTTTTGTGGCATTTTCCTAATTTTAGTTGGTATTCTATTCGCTACTATATCTTTATTATTATTATTATTGTAATTTAAGCATCTTTAATGAACTGTGGTACTTCTATGGTGATCTTACTTAAAAAATCGATATTATTTAAACGAAACACCAATATTGTTATTGACTACTAATCTAGAATATTCTATGTAAATAAACTTATAGATTTAATTGTATAGCCAGAAGAGAAGGAAATTATCGAAAAGGATATTCTTTGCTCAATTACTTTTAAAGATGTATGAATATGAATATCTTCACCTTACAAAAAAACCAAAACGCTAATATTGTTTTTACCAATCAGTACAATCTATTTCCTGCTGCCCTAGGCAAGTTTTAATGAAATCGTCTCCAAACTATTCACAGGCGGTCAGTCTTTTGATATTTAAGTGACTCAGTGAAACAGAAGGTACTGCGGACGGATAGGCGTATTTAGTATGCCAGTTGAGTTGTCCACTGAGTCAGTATTATTATATACCTACGCATAAGTCCACTCAGTCATATTGCGGTGAGAGCTGGCTGCTAGCTAAAATTGGTAGACAGTAATTTACGTCAAAGATTACGTCCACAATATTGGTCATGAGAAAAATAAGAACAAAGACTGACTCAACAACCAACCACAGAAGACTTTGCGTGGATACAATTCGCAGATGGATAATCTGAACTTCAGGAAACGGCCACAAAGAGATGAAAGATGATGAACGTTCAGCGAGAAACAATTAATCAGAAGACTGTGTTTGTTTGCTTACAATTACCTATAATAATGTACATGAAAATCTATAAATATGTGTTGATTTCTTTAATAAGCGATCTGTTGCCAGGCCCCTGTCTTCTGCTGTTACATTTGGTGTAGCTGCCTATCGACAAATGGAAAGCCTATGCCCTGCAGTTTAGATGGAGGCATATGGATCTTCGGGAAGGACTTCAAGACTTCTTCGCAGTTGAATAGCATTCAAGATCTGTCAGCAATGAGGCTGTTACTTGGGACGCTGATGGGAGCTCGGGAGAAAGCAGTATATGAAAGTGTGAGACAAAATACCGACGAATGTTCGACAGGGTCAGGAAAACAGTTTCCAAAGTGGAAATGACCACATATGATCACTTTGAAATGATGGGGTTACGCAGACACATTCGCAATGGCAAACAAAAGGAAACAGGTGAACATCAGCGATCTCCGAGATTTCAGATAGCAAGACAAACGAACAAAACCCTAGAACCAAGAAGACCAAACCAACTTCAGTCGAAAGTCTTTGACGGCGGGACGAGTATGGTGAGAGCTGGCTGCTAGTCAAATTGGTGGACAGTAATTTACATCAATGTTTACGTCCTCAATATTGGCCGTAAGAAACAAAAAGAACAGAGACTGATTCAACAACCAACCACAGAAGACTTTGTTTGCGTAGGCGGATACAATTAGCGGGTCGATAATCTGAAGCTCAATAAACGGCCACAAAGAGATGAAAGATTAACGTTAAGCGAGAAACCACCAATCAGAAGACTGTGTTTGTTAGCTTACAATAATCTATAATAATGTACATGGGAATCTATAAATATGTGTTGACTGGCCCTTGTCTTTTGTCGTTACAATATCACCTAACACAACAAGACCATACCAGTTGGTAATGAGTTCATTTCAACTGACGAAACAGATATAAAATAACTAGGTGGTATACAAGCGTATCGACTAATTCTAACAGTGATTGCAGGTATAGGCCCCTCCTACCGATCTTGAAACAATACTTTGCACTCATTTTTAACGGAACATAGCACATCTTTCAAAAAAACGATATACAGCTAAATTCAAGACAAAACACCAAAAGATCAATATATATATTTTAAATGATATATTATATTTGCATAAATTTGTGTGTGAGTGCGTGTATGTGCACCCAGACATTGAAAGGAGAACAAGGTTCTAATCAATAAGGAATCTAGTTTGAAGGAGTGGGGAGGTGAAAGTGACGATAAGAAGAGAAGAATCAATCAACCAACCGACCGACCGACCGACCAAAAAAACATCTCTTTCATACATTGGGAAATAAAATTATTCGTCACTAAAGATTTTCATCCTACACACAAACAAGCTACTAACAGACACACATCTCTCTATGTTGAGTTGACGAAGTCGACAATTTCCAGCAGCACCATCGTCGTCAGGGCATTCTTGTATGCATGACAGATATATATATCAGGCGAAGACAATGGCATCAGTCACAAAGTGACGGTGAGTCAAGCCGATAATAGGACTAATAATAATTTCTGGTTCAATTGTATAAATCATGGCGCACTCACATAATAACAACAATAATAATAATTATAGTAGTCAGAGTCATAGGGAATAGAAGAGAGAAGTAATATTAGAAGTAATAGTAATAATAATATTAAAGAGGAATCGGTTATCATTAAGCATACATATTTTAGTGTTATTAATACGTATATATATAGGTATTTGTGTATTAATCGGGGAATAAATTGGGAGTTTAGACAGTTCACCATTCCAATGGACCAACAACTAATTCCCAGTAAGCTCTGCAAACGTGGAATCCAATTCTTCACTGAGTGCCTTGTATTTCTCTTTCTCAGTAACCAAATCATCTACACAAACGATGTGGAGGGAGGAGAGAGAGGAAAATAAAAGAAGAAATAAAGGTTATGATAAATGGTTAATGAATTTTGTTGTTGTATTGCGTATTCTATCTAACCTCCTCCTCCTCGCATGCCCCCAACCCCGCCCCAGCAACAGGACTGGGGAGAGCAGAAACGCACCACCACTAAGTAACAGCATGCTTTAAAGAATCTGATCTGACAGCTAATCAACACATAAATGCTCGCAATGTCTAACCCACCCCCGTCCAGAGTGGAATAATACATCAAGACTTCAGGCGTGAACTTCCAGAGTGCGTCTGTAATACGCGTAGTGTTTGTTGGTGTGAGCATTCAACCATTAGCCAACTAACATGCAACATCATATCCAGAAGGAAGATCTGTGTACCTCAAGTGGATAATATTGATGTCTGTCTGTTTTCGACATGGAACTTTCCACCGATATGCGGCATTTCAAGTCGCCACACTGGCTCCACGTAGCACACAAAGCAAGAGAAGAAAGTACAAGAAATGCATAATAGAGACAGTAAACAGAGGTGTGAGAAAAAAGAATAGTAATAACGACGAACGATATAGTTTCTTTGGAAATCACAAGTCACAAGGAGTGGATGCATCTGCGCTAGCCATCGAGAACGAGTTTGAGCCATTTTACCAATTGTTTCTAACCAGTGATTTTCACCGTCCCGGGGAACCCAACCGGTCATGAAGTCTATACCTTCCTACGTGACTAGCTTAAATTAACTGTTATGGGTGTAATTGACTGGTGCCATGTTTTGGTTTGACCACCACTGGCTCTTTTCCAACCTGACCCTATGTCAGCTAACATTTCCCGTCGAGGAAGGCGATGACTTGGCATGCGCAACACATGTCCTAACCATCTCAGTTGGTGTAACTTCACAACCTCGTCGATCGATTTCCCCTGCCTACCTAGAACTCGACGCCTAACCTCAATATTGCTGACGCTATTATACCACTTCACACGGGAGACAGAACACAGGCACCTATGATCGAGGACAGCTTATCTTTTCATGTCTTCCCCTCTCAATGGCCATGTCTCACAGCCAATCGTAAAGGAGGACGAAGCGGACTTCTGAGCAGTACACCCGCCCTTTGTTCGATAGCCAGTCGGATATCACGTCTGCACCAGAGACGGCGCAAACTGATATATGCGAAACTAGCCCTCTGTATTGATGTAGGTGAGGTCCTTTGAGGTGAATGATATATAGGTTTAAGAGTGACCATGTTTTCATTATTATTAGGAAGGACAGGCTTATTACTATTATTAATACATTTCGAAGTCAGTGTTGCAGATTGGTTTTCTAGGAAGACACTGAAAACTTCTTAAGTAAACCATTAAGTTCAGAGAACAGTAGAGCGCTGGACACGTGTTTCGTACTAATTATGGACTCTTCATCAGTATGTATATACTATGGTTTTCAACGACTCTCTAACTTGTGACGAATTCTACATTGAAATTAACCAGTAGGTGCGTACTGACGATTATTCCCAAAGTAGGATGAAACAGCAGCTGTCCAGTACTTCCTGGTTTTCAATGGTTCTCTAACTGATATCAATCCGTGATCAACTCGTAAAATCAAAACTAATCCTTACAAACCAAACTATAGAAAATTAATCTGATGCTCGCTAGTGACTTGCTACAGAATGGAGTTTCCTGCAGTGAGTTCTAGTGAGAAGTCGTGACCAGTGAATTCAATCCAGATGTCACGTGTGAGGATAGATGTCTCACATACGACAATGGTTGGGTAGCGCTAAATCACGAATTGGTAGAAGTCAGAATCGGGTGGAATCCCAGTGGGTGAATGGTATACGAGCTTGCCCTGCAACCGGAAGGTCCTGGGTTCAAACCCTGACGGTGGGTGCGTGCTACCGATGATTCCCAAGCTAGGATGAAACAGCAGCTGTCCAGTACTCCGATGTTGGTTTTCCATGATTCCGTGATCAACTCGTAAAAACAAAACTAACTTTTTAAACCAAACTATGGAAAATTAACCAGAATCCTTGAAAAACTGAGTCTATTTTATGGCCTGATTGCTTTATATACGCAACAAAGCTAACACAATATTCCTCATTATATCTTATAGTGAGTGAGGAGGATTTATGCAGTTTTACTAAATGCCCTACACTCTGTAATGATGCAATACATGCCGGTATCCAATAAAATACTTCAAAAACTGAATTTATATGTAGCTATCTGTATACTGATAAAAAGTGAGATTTTATGATGTTACCTTGCTTAAAACCCATACATCACTAAAAGAAACGATATCTTAAGGAGTGTATACTACTTTAAAAAAAATCAAAATCACAAGTTAATGGCACTGTTATTCAAGTATTGGTTTGTAGGGATTTAATTGATTGGTTACAGGATTTCATCATGAACTGACATCGGTAAGACGACCATTGGAAAACCTGCTGGGAGTAGTGGACAGCTATTTCATCAGCCTAGATTGGGACTCCTCATCAGTACGCACCGACCACGGGGGTTCGGACCCAGTAACTCGCCGAAGACATTGGCTAGGGTTCGTGCTATGTTGGGAATCGGAAGAAGTTGGAATTCATGTACTGGCCAGTGGATTGGGTCCCAGTGACTTAATGGTCTGTGAGCTCGCCTTGTAACCAGAAGGTCCTACCTAGGTGCGAACCCCTGTGGTGGGTGCGTACTGATGAAGAGTCCCAAACTAGGCTAACGAAACAGCTGTCCAGTACTCCCAGCTGGTTTTCCAATTGTTCTCTAACCGGCGTCAGCTCATGATGAAATCCTCTCTACAAACAAATATGACAAGTCAGTTAATAGTTCTACATGGGTTCAAAGACTTGGCGTACGCGTCACCCAAAGCATTTCCAGTAGCCTCCTAAAGATCAGATGGCTAGGAAGCATTAGAAAACGGCGAACTCTACTACCGATGAACCAAACAAGAACGTATCGCCGTCCAATAAAAATGCACAGAAAAATGGATTGGAGATACGCTCAGGATACTGTCAACAGTGAAATCACACTCTAATTGGTGACAAGACATGCGTAACACATATATAAACTACCATAATCATCTCAATCACTGGAGCTTCACAAACCCATGGACTAAATTCCTCCCCCCCCCCCTTACTTACACATCTCTGACCACACCGTACTTGGCAACACCAGTGGTCTGTGCATCTCACACTTTCTTCAACGGTGAAGTATTAAAAGGCGTAAAACACAAAAGAGATGTATAGCATGCTATGCTGCCCCTGGGGGGGGGGGGCATGCGTCTTTTGATGCACAGCTAGACATCACATCACATCTGCATCAAGGATAACACGCAGATTGGCAAAATGACAAGCCATTGTAGGAACAAATAACTCATGACTTCGGTGGGACTAATGTGTCGTCTTAATCTTTGAAACCCGCCGATATTCAAAAAAAGCAGCCATCGAATCTTATACATGCGAACTGCATAGTTGCGGGTGAACTATTTCACCAGTTATTCATATCACAAGATGTAATGTGTGGGCAATGGCATCCAACTACTTATATCAGCAAATCAGTAATATATGCCACAGTGTATTACTGCTAGCTTTCTCGTTTAGGCAATTATGGTATCCGGCAGAATTCAACGATGATCTAAATAATTTCTTGCAATTTGCAAATTGTGGACTCACTTCCAATGTATTACCAGTTGGCTCAAGTGGCTGGCTAGAATTTTGACGATTTCCTACTGTGATTAAGCTGTCTGAAGTGAGTCAAACCCTGATGACGTCACAGCTTCACACACTTAGATCTGGCTAGCGAGAGTTACTTTGCAGAGATTTGATTTGTCTCAAGAAGTTTGATCACGGACTGATGTCAGTTGGCGAAGTATTGAAAACCAGTCACCAAGGAGTACTGGACAGCTAGCTAGCAGTTTCTTCAGCCTAGTCCGGGACCAGATCGTCGAACCCAGGACCTACCAGTCACAAAGCAAGCTCATGTAGATCATTCACAGTCACTAACACCCGACCCAGTGGACAGCTCAGGAATTCCAACATTTTTGGATTACAACTTGATTCCACACCGTATTTTTGGCAAAAGTACGGAATTTTCAACATGCGATATCGGTAGGCCAAATTTTGCAGGCCAACCATTGATATCAGGTGTGCGTCGGCAGGGGATCGAATCTCCGACCATGCACATGGTCGGAGAGAGTCCTAACCACTGTGCCACGGACGGACGACTGACTCATATTAACCAGTCGGTAGTAGTAGTCTACGGCTTCAGACATCAATCAATAGGCTTGAAGTAAAAATAATGCTACACACACCCTCCAGTCTCATTCTTTTGCATTCTAACTGGAAAACAAAGTTTCAGTAGTGTGTGTTGGAATTGTGTTTCCCTTTTTTTACACGGTGTCATCATCACTAGCCCGTCACTTCGGACTTTCCCAGGTTCAGTGCAAGCTAGCGAGTAAAAACCAAGTCACTGAGGCTGAGGAGTGAATTGACCGGTAATCAAATCCAAGATCACGGGAATCTAAAGTCACCACCACTGATGTTTGCGCTATAGCTAAGTTATAGATAGCATTATATACTAAATGATGAATAATCGGAGTAAGGCAAGGCTGCCTACTATCGCCAATGATTTACCTGATTGCAGTAGATTGGATAATGCGACAGACAGCGGGAGGCGAGGAAACAGGCAGAAAATGGACCCTCACGAAAAACTTGGAGGATCTGCACTTCGCTGATGATGACATATGTCTGATTTCCCACAAACACAGGAAGATATGCAAGTGAAAAACAACAAGTTGGCAGAAGAAGCACCCAGGGAAGATAGGACTCCAAGTAAACATAGAGAAGACAGAGGTGATGAAGATTCCTGGCCAACAGGAACAGCCACAGCAACGACAACAACAACAGACAACAATCAGCTAGCATAAATGAGAGGAACCCGAAAGAAACAACCTCCTTTACCTGCCCGCCTACCTGGGAAGCATCGCTTCAACTACAGGTGCACGGAACTGACGAGGATATCAAAGTGTGAGGATCGGGAAGGCAAGTTTTCATTTCTCTCCAGTTTGTGTGAAGGTCAACAGCACTACCCAGCATGAAAAATAAGATCCAGATTTTCAACTCCAATGTGAAGTCGGTGCTACTCACTATGCCGATCAGAGACGCGTCATAAAAAGTACCTGAAGGTTCGAACTACAGACCTTCATCAACAGCTGTCTTCACTCAATGCTACTCAAGATCAGAAGGCCAGCCAGAAAAGATCAGCTACAGGGATCTCTGGCGATGAACGAACCAACCAGGAATCAATTGTGAAACAAACAGGCAGGAAGAAATGAAGATGGATTGGCCATACTCTGAGGAAACCATCAAGTGACATCACTAGACAAGCCATTGCTCGAGTGGAACCCGAAAGGGAAGCGGTGAGTCAGTTGGTCGTCAGTGCGAGGGTGACTTGGTGGAGGAGGTCAGTCATGTGAAGAGGAGATGAAATCATGTGGGTCGCAGACGTGGAGCCAGGTGAAAACTCTAGCAGAGAACCAAACGCAATGGAGACATCCACCCGAAGTCTTATGTTCCTTTAGGAATTAAAGGAAATAATACTACTAACAACAATCGGAGTACATAAAGAAAGTCAAACTCTAGCATATACTACTGAAATCCATAGAGTTCAATACACACTGTGAAAGGAAGAGTAATATATACTCCTCTTTTATTCCCTTTAGACAGAGCTTTTTATTTCGTCTCCTTGTTCTTCTTTAACCACACATTGTACTTTTTTTCAAAGACGCGATATGAGTTCACATAGACATTTTTGAAACGATAACAAAAAGTGTAAAAAAGACTGTTATTTGAGTATTGTTCACAGTACTCTTGATTTTTGTTGTTGTCTGTATGCATTGCTAGAACACATACACGCACGCAGATACACAGACACAGAGAGAGATATACAGGAAAATACATGCGAAGCAGATTTGCATTGGGGAGCGAGGGAGAAAGTGTGTGTGAAGGGGGGGAGGGGGTGAAGAAATCTAAGACGGAAGCCCACACACACAAAATGAATGAACTCTAAGTAGTGAACTCAAGGGAGATTGAAAGATAGCACCAAAAAGAAAAACAACACAGGAAAGAGTGAAATGACGAAAAATATGGATATTGCTGTGCTAAAATAGAAAAAGAGAACTAGTCATTCGACTAATTAATTAATTAATTATGCATTGTAGCATACAAGAATAAATGAATGTAGGAAGGAAGAGAATATATAGTGGGCGCTATGAATGTGGGAAAAAAAGGTAATATACATAAACTCTAATCCACCACTCTTCAAATAAGTAATAATAATATTGTTCATATTAGCAACAGTAGCGTGTGAAACAAGACAAAAGCGAAAAAGAAACGGTTATACTGGGTCGGAGTAGCGAGCAAAACAAGAAGTTTCTGGTGTGTTGTCAAGACATTCCACGTTTGAATAGACAGGAGAAAGAAAGAAAGACACAAATTTCTCAAACAAGCAAACAAACGAGCACAAAAGTAAAGCATCTCCCCGCATGTCAAAGAGAAGGGGGTACTTGTACACACACACACAACATGCACTATTGCTTTCATAACACATACACACAAACACCAACGCCACCCCAGCGCTTACCCACCCGACGACTTTCTATTAAGAGGTCAGGGTTTGGTAGGGCGGCGGGGTTCAGGCGGGGGAGAGGGGGAGAGAAGGGATTGTAGTATCACTAATAGTAGTAGTCATGCGCTAAATACACTCAGACAAGCGCCGCAAGCATATAAAAAAATCGATATTCTGTTGAAGGAAGGAAGCAAGAAAGAAAAAGAAAACGAAATATTGATGATTTGATTGATTGATTAGATTAGTTTTCCTCTCTTTTCTTTGTTGTCGTCGTTGACGACGGTTGTGGTCGTCATCATTATCATCGTCGTTGGTTGAATATCAAGGCTAAATATTTTCTACTTCTGTGAATAGTGTTTCCATTTCCCGACGAAGATTTGTATGATTCAATCGTTCAGCTTCCAATGCTTCTGTAATTGAGAAAATTCAAAATTGAGATTTTTTTTAAAATGTGTCACTTCATTCAAAATATTTACAACTGACTAACAAACAAGAATAACGGTTTTATTTCATGGAGAATTTCATCATGAGCTGACTGACATCAGTTAGAGAACCACTGGAAAACCAGCTAGGGAGTACTGGACAGCTGTATGGAATTTTTCATCAGTACGCACTCACAACAGGGGTTCGAACCCTGGACCTTCTGGTTACAAGGCTAGCGAGGTCGTACACCATTGAGCCACTGGGACCCGATCCAATGGCCAGTCCACAAATTCTAACTTCTGCCAATTCACGACATAGCACGACCATTTCGCACTGTCTTCTTCTTCGATGAGTTACTGCCTCATCTTCAACCTACTGTACCCTACTGGTCACGGCTTCTCACTAGAACCCCAGGTTAACTGTTTTGTCATCAACATAAAGAGTCCAGGAGACAACTGTTTGAGACAGGTTGAACACAGGTAAACATTGAATTATCCTTTATTGATGAAATACTGATTGATGTCCAGTCTGGAAATTAGAACCAATCAGAACTGACCTCTGTAAACTAACGCCCATTTTTTTTTTAATTGATCGTTATTACAGACTAATTGAAGCATTTTTTTTCGGTGATATTTTGAGTCATACATCATTGCGGCGGGTCGTATCACTCTGTATTCCCGTCTAAGTAATGCGGGCTAGAGAAATTGGAAGCTGTCGTATAATGTTGTTGCTGGCGTAGAGAGAGTCAAGGGGTATTCGTGATCAGCGCGTCTAAGTCAAGCATTGGTGGTCCCTATCCCTATTCCACATTCCAATATCAGTGTTATTACTTAATCGGGTTACTTGCCCAGAAATATAGACATGTACAACCTTCTGGAATAACCTTTTCTAAATTCCCTTCCAAATCCACCACCCTGTGTGAATGGAGAGGCAACATAACTGACTTGCTGGTTGTTTCATAAGCTGTTGGAACAGCGTTCTCATAGTTTCCAGTGACTGAAACAGGCTAATACATCATCATTCGATCTATTAGAACTTTGGGGGTTCGGCATTAGAGTTTTCTATAGCTCGCTACTCTATTGAGTAGGGAAAAAAACTGCATTTTTCCTTCACCAGTTAGATTTTCATCGCCAGACGTGTTCGCGAAAAGGAATCGGCTTGAAATAGTATTCTCCTTATAATTCCTCGTGTGATCGGATGACTGTAAAATTCCACAATCTTTTTTTTTCTAACCTTAGTCTTGGTCAAATCGCTTACCACCAATCAGAACGATCTGTTTCTACTGCCCAAGACAGATTTTTACCGTGGTTAGAAATACATAACTACAAAAATATAACGTGCTTTCTCCTGATATAAATCGTCTCCTAACATTCACAGGCGGTCAGTCTTTGTCTTTTTATATTTACGTGGGCCAGTTAAGCAAGAAGCAGCAGATACCACGAACGGATAGGCGTATTTAGCATGTCAGTTGAGTTGTGTTCATTGCATCAGTTATTATCGCACCCACATGCACACAAGTTCACTCAGTTATATCAGCTGTCAACGACAAAATATCAATTGGCAACAGGTACATAATGTGTGATATTTTAGATGGTTGAAGGCCATAATCGGCCACAGGAAACCATACCTGACCTAGGTTTCGTGCTAGTTAGCACTCACCACCAGTCAGCAAGATAGGCGTATCTGCAGCCTTGAAGGAATGCATGTCCGTTCTGAGATTGGAACTCGTGTCATCCAATGTCGCCTGCAGTCAGTCAGATACGTTAACACTGAGCTATTCGGGCACGCAAGTGACCTCCTGTACGACTGTAAGTGGGCAGTTTGATTAGACACTAGTCAGTAACAAGTGTGATGTGTCTGGCTAGTCCTTTCTTTGGTGCACAGACTGAATTCTATCAGTCGGTCAGGTTTGCAATGGAATGCGGCCACCATGCCACCTAGGTAGCTCGCCATAACGATGCACATTGATTTGATAATACTAAATAGTTGGAGGCTGACTGTTAGAATTCAGTCTGCACCAAAAAAAAGGACTAGACACGTCAAACTAGTTACTAGTGTCCAATCAAAGGTAGAATAACGTATTGACGACACAGATCATAAACTTAGCATTTACTCTTAAACGTTTATGAGGAACACTCCCCCCCCCGACGCCGATGTCACATGATGAGGGAGAACTTCAAGAAGAAGAAGAAGACAATTCACGTACTCTTGGGGCCATACAAGGTGTCATTTATGGGGGAGGGTGGGACCCGAAAACAAACCATTGTCTAGAAAACTTTCTCCAATCAGTTAACAATGTAGGCAACCTTTATTAGGAATCAATAAGTGGAACAAAAATAACAATAGTGATAACAATAATAATAAAAGTATAGCATGACAGGGACTGACCTTCCAATTTACATAATTCCATTTGTTTACTCTCCTCTTGACGATTAGCTTCTTTAACGCGTCGTTCAGCCTACAATTATCATTCCCACCCCCGAGGATTTCGATAGATATATGCATAATGAAAGAAAAATAGATTAAAATAGGCATCCTCATGCATTCTTATACTACTACCTAATATATCATCTCACAAGCAGTAATCAGATATGGAGGACGGTAGTCAGTGTTGAGTGACTGAGAAAGCGGACATGCCCAAAAATGTAAAGCACACTCTTATTTCCACAGTCTCTCTCTCTCGCTTTACTTTACCTTCAAGACGATCCGCATCAGCTTGTAGAGTGTTGACAAGTCGTTCGGATTCTTGGGCACGATCTTCAGCCTAATAACAATAATAATAATAACAGCAATATAGAATGAACAATATTCCCTCCCATTAATTTACTTCCTTTGCTCACAAAAAGCAATTCACAGGCAGGTTGACAGTGGAATGCTTCTCATGCTTCAAGACAGAGAAGATGCTTAACTAACACTAAGAGAAAAGAGTAATCTTCATGCACAAAGAAAGACAAACAAACAACAAAATGCACATATCATCCATCCAACTGAACATTCACCACCGATGGGATACCCACCAATTGGATAACCCCATTGTTCTAGTAACAACACAACTAACAGACTGGATTGAAACTTCTTCAAGAGTTGTTTTAATTTTGCCCACAGACTGATATCTATCACAGTTAGAGAATTGCCTAAAAACCAGCACAACAGTAATGTCGGCATTTTTTTAGAAAATGATACTTAAAAGAAAGAAATGAGAACAGCGCTCAGTTTATCTATCGATATTCAATACTTCTGAAGAATTAATTTACAACAAAAAAATTTTGTTTTTGCCACAGATAGATAATAAGCAAACTTAACACACCTGAAATATTACTGGCATTCAATGTAAGAGATGTTAAGATACTGTCAGCGTGTGTGTGTGTGTGTGTGTAATGAACAAACCCACACCAGAGGAATATAATCTCTGCGCACAGCATCTCCCGAATGTCAATCTCTGAATAGTTCTGGTGACAACTAACCCCTTATCCAGATCACAAGAGCTCATCAAGTGTAGCAAACAATAAGCCAATAGTCTCTGTGAGTAATGTTCAAGGTGAGAGCTGGCTGCTAACCATATTGGTAGACAGCAATTTACGTCAGTGTTTACGTCCACAGTATTGGTCATGAGAAAAATAAGAACAAAGACTGACTCAACAACCAACCACAGAAGACTTTGCGTGCATACAATTCGCAGATGGATAATCTGAACTTCAGGAAACGGCCACAAAGAGATGAAAGATGATGAACGTTCAGCGAGAAACAACTAGTCAGAAGACTGTGTTTCTTTGCTTCTATTAATCTATAATAATGTACATGAAAATCTATAAATATGTGTAGATTTCGTAAATAAACGATCTGTGTTCCTGGCCCTTGTCTTCTGTTGTTACACTGGTACTTTTCAGAGTTGTAATTCTGTCCCACCCCACTGCTTGGGTTGTATGTTAAATGCACTCAGTGAAATAGCTGAGCTTCTTTTTTCTAAATCACTTATCTTCGTGGGGTTGGTCAATCAATTCTCATGGTCTGACAATCTGACTACCCACCCACTCCCCCCGTAGATCTACTGGTCTAATTGATCCTATGTAGTCGACTTAACTCATAGTCATTGCAAGGTACTTTGTAAAATTATATTATTTTGTCTAATTTGGTCAACCTACAGAGAGCTTGTCCCACCTGAATGACTTTGAAGGTTTTTAAATGCCACCAGTCTAATTCCTGCTTTGTTAACAATCCTACCTAGGGAGGGTTTCAGATGCCCCACCCCTCCCTATGCGATAAAGCTTATTTATGTTATCATTATTAGTCTCCCAATTAATTTTTATTTTGCTTTTGACCACTTTTGATCTTCTGAATAAATTTTATAGGATAGTTAGTTATTTAACACCAACCAGCTATTCTCCTTCTATCTGTTTGATTTCATCATTTAGGTTTTTTTGTTGTACTAGTTAGTGTTGTTATTGCTCGGTTTGTCAGACACTTAAAAATTAAGTCTGCCTTCACAGATAGACAACGGATGAGGTGATGAATTAAAGTCTAAATATTTATTAGCAGAATGTGTTGGCTTTTTACAAAACGCCACTAGTGTCCAGCTGACCTTCTGCCGTAAAACACTTAATCAAAATAAAATTCCTCCATAATTGAATTGTACTCTACCACAATACACCTTCAGGTTCTATTCTTAAACCTCTATATTGCATTATTTTGGAATTGTAGCTCAATCGTGTAGTCCCAACCGCCTACCTATTGTGTCTGATCGTGTATTAGTGCATGCTTTATGATTCTTTCTCATCTTCGTGGGAACAATCACATTCTACACCATAGCTAAATTCTTCTCTTTTGATAATCTGAATACTCTGGCGATCTACTTGTTCGACCTAGATATAATTCTGCTTTCAATTATTACAAGGTACTATTTTGGAGATGAAATCACATCTTGTCGAATTGTGTGTGTGTGTTCAGTAGAAAACTCATTTATAAATTCTGATTTCAATTAATGGATTTCATCACGAACCGGCAGGGGAATGAATTGGACAGCCTGTTTCGTCCTAGCCAATTGAGACCCCTTCATCAGTGTGTATTCCCGCTCTAGGGATTGACTGAGGCTAATCTCCTTGACTCCATCAACTCATAATGATATGGTACTGTCTTTAACCATATGGCCTTCGAAAGCGCATCCACTTCCCCTTCCGATATGGTAGAGTTCCCCCTCCCGTCCCATTGCTGGTCACAAATTCTCTAGTAACTGAAATTCAATTAATCCCTAAAACTCTCCGAAAACCCCCTAAATCTAAATTTTAAATTTTGGCTTAGTGAATAACAAGCTACACTGGCTGGAACCAATGTTCCTGCAGGTCCTACCATTCCAGGAAGGTTGTTAGGATGGTGATTATAGACTATAAGCAGTTACCGGCTTAGTGTAGGAATTTTTCTTACATTATGCTGGGGGAGATCTGTGGGCGAAGTCGTACGTACTGCTGGGGAACAGGGGTGTAACAGCAGTGAGGTGTTTCCCTCAGATGACCAGCATGCTAGCCAGCCAGCTATGCTGACTCTCCACTCTGCTGGAGAGAGGGGGTTAGAAAAGGTCGACGACCCCAAAAATTGTACATCCCGACTTACCCCATTTACGGTGGTGGTCCGTAACTGGCGGTAAGTTTACTAATACGGAACCGAACAACCAAGAAACCAGTTCATACAGGCCGTGTGTGACTGGCCAGCATCAAGCAGTTATCTCCTGCGCTCTGCAGTCACGCAACACTAACCGTCTCTCTTTCTCTCTGTTTCAGTTACTCGAAGAATCAAACAACTTCCATGGTGTGGGGGTAGCCGGGGAGTAACAACCACCCCACACGCTTCTAAAAATCTTAGTGAATAGAATTATTATTGGTAAATTAAGAGAGAACAAAAATGGTTGTTGTAAGACACTTTACCTCATTCAGTTGTTCGGCTAAATAAGCCAGTTGGGATTGATGTTGACTGCGTTGTTTACATATCTACAGTGTGTTGTCGTACAGGCAGAGAAGGCGAGCAGGCAACGGCAGGCAACCCATTTTCGTACATATACATACAGATAACAACAAAAAAAGATATCCACAACCGCCAAAATTCCCAAAAAGCATGCCAAAAAGAAGAAAAGAGGAAACATGTAGAAAACTATTGTATCAAACAAACTGTGATGTTGCTTATGGAAGTCTTAGAAAGGAGGCAAAAACGAATTGATTATTCGATCCTGTGTGACATTCTCCTGCATGCGATATAAACACAACCTGGGACACGCACACACACACACATCATCATCATCACCACTATGACCAAGCAAGCTTACAGCTTTTAGACGCTCAGTTAGATCACGGATATTCTCCTCATAGGCTTCTTCACGTTGGGCGGCCTAGAATAGGAATTTTCACATTATCATCATCAAAAATAAACATACGAAAGTGGTAAAATGACAGAAAACTTCCCAGCATTTGTTGCGGGTTCACTAATTCGCTGGTTTGTAGAATTACATTACACGAGTTAGATACACATTTTGTATTACATAAGAATATTAATGAGTAGTAACTACATGGCGAGGCAAGGAGTGAAATGGCACAGCCCGCTGGCTGACGACTACTTCCCTTTCAAGTGTTGGTTTTTAGGGATTTGATTGGTTACAGGATTTCATCAGTGAGAAGTCGTGATCAGTAGGGTGCAGGAGGTTGGGTGTGAGGACGAATACTCGCCATCGAAGACATTGGCTAGTGGTCGCGCTATGCCGTGAATTGGCAGAAGTTACATTTCATGGGCTGGCTGGCCATTGGATCGGGTCCCAGTGGCTTAATGGTATACGAGCTCGCTAGCCTTGTAACCAGAAGGTCCTAGGTTCGAATCCTGTGGTGGGTGCGTACTGCTAAAGAGTCCCAAACCAGGCTGACGAAACAGCTGTCCAGTACTCCCAGTTGGTTTTCCAATGGTTCTCTAACTAATGTCAGCTCATGATGAAATCCTGACTACTTCTCTTATCTTAGGATGGCGCATCAACTCTAACTGACTGACTGACTGAGTGCGGATGAAATCTCAACACGTATACACAAACAAAAAGCTTATGTGGTATTTGCCAACTTACGACATCGGGTGACCGATTCATTCAAGGACGTGTGTAATGCACTGCAGTTCTCTTTATCCACCCCCCCCCCTTTGTAACAGTGAGATATAGCCTTTAACTTTGAAAGTGGAAGATATGATGAAAACGCCAACAGTCATTGTCCACAGATATTTGTGGTTTAATCATCTTCCATATGAAGTGAAGTGTTATAACATGGTGAGTATTATATATCGAGGTTAGACATCGACTGTTAGGGTAAAGGGGATACGTTAGTCAACGAGGTTGTGAAACTACACCAATTCATTTAGATGGCTAGCTAGAAGCCTTTGCTATACATGCTGCACGCCAAACCACTCCAGCTGACAGTCATACCTCATCAAACCAGGTAAATTGAGATCGTTAGCTACCTAAAAAACACCTTCATACCCTTTAGTTTAGAAGGGACAGGACTTCAAGAGAACATTGCGGAGACGGAGATGATGAAGATAACCAACCGCTCGACAACAACTACAACCACAATCACAACCCTCGATCACTATATCAACGGAATAAATTTGAAAAAAAGGCACTTCCTTACAACTACAGGCAGTCGTCGGAACAGGTGGGAATATCAAAACCACAATTGAAAAAAGGCAAGACCGACGATCATCAATCACTCTGAAAACAGTGTGGAAACCCGCAGTACTCAGAAGGAAGAAGAAGATTTTCAGCACACACACACACACACACGTGCGTCAAGAAGCGCATTTCCAACAGTCAGATGCAGACTTTTATGAACAGCTACCCGCTTTACTTGGCTCCGTACTGCTGGAGATCAGATGGCCGGGGTGGGGGGGGGGTCAGAAAGAATTAGCAACAACAGGAATCTATGGAAGCAAACAAACCAAGAGGTCACAGAGTGAAGTGTGAAGGTGCCTCACTAACCTGAAGAATAGTACTAACTGTAGAAGGGGAATAAGATGATGACAGTGATGCGGTTAGAGGAGAATGACGCTCAGAAAGGCTTCGTGTGTTTTTGGATGTGTCCAAATAAACCAAGAACAACCTATTGGTCAACAAATATGTCGAGGCAAATGGAGATGGATGGATGGATGGTTTGGACACAAGCTGAGAAGACCACTGGATGACACATTGCGCGCCAGAATATCATTCAAGTGGAACACACCGCTAGGATGTGATATGCAGGAGACATTGTGGAGTAGAGAAGAGAGCTTATGCACGCAATCAATCGTCGAGGAGGAGGAGGAGTTAGCCAACTAAAGAGGACTATGGCAGGGTAATCAGGGTGAAATGAAGAGATGCACTGTGCTTTTTTGAAGGCCTCCCTATATTGTTCCACTCACAACACAAGCGGATAACAATCATATATATATATATATATATATATATATATATATATATATATATATATATATATTGGTGAACATAGACAAGACGGAGGTTATGAAAATAACCAACCAACCAACAACAACAAAAGCACCAACCAGCGCCAATCACCATCAACGGGGGGATTTGAAAGAGGTTACTTCATTCACTCACTTATCTAGGGAGCATTGATTCAACTACACCAAGAACGGACGAGGATGTCAAATCGAGCGAGAAACACATTCATCATCAACCTGAAACCAATCTGGAAATCTTCGTCACTCAGTATCAACAACAAAATTCGGTCGGATTTACAATAATAACAACGTCAAGTCAGTCAGCTCTTCTATACGAATCAGAAACTTGGCGGGCGGGTTACAAAGAATATTTCCAACAGCCTGTTGCAGACCTTTATCAACCAACAACTGTCTTCGCTGGTTCCATACTGAAGATCAGATGGCTGGGTCGGAAAGAATAACCAGCAACAAGAAACTATGGGAAGAAACAAACAAAACAAGAACCAATTGCCAACCAATAAATATGCAGGAGAAAGTGGAGATGAATTGGACACTCATTCGCTGAGGAGGCCGCCGCTGGGTGACATCGCGCGCGTGTCACGCCATTGCTCGAGTGGAACCAAGCCGAAAGGGAAGCGGCGAGTGGGACGTCAGTGCAAGGGTGACATGGAAGAGATCGTGTGAAGAGGAGTTGAGACAGTATGGACTAACATGGATTCAGGTGAAAAGTACAGCAGAAGACAGAAGTGACAAGTGGAGACGTGCAGTTGAAGCCCTATGTTCCAGTAGGAACCCAAGGAACAATCATAATATTATATATATATATATATATATGTCATCAAACAAATTAAAAAGTAGCACAGGATATCAGAAGAGTAATATGCGTTAACTTTATTAGACTAAAAAGCGGAAATAACAAAATTTAAAAAATGAAAAATATATACAAATACACAAATACCTCTTGTTCAGATATCTCCAAGGATTTTACATTATTACCAACAATGCGTAACTCCTCTTCGAGTTCAGTAATTTTGCTATAAACAGATTAGATCATATATGCATATATAATAATAACAGGTCAGACTTCATCAGCATTACACTCCATTCAAATGAATGAATGAGTGGGATATATGCAGGCGGGAAGAAAGGCAATCTATCTATCGCTTAACTAATCCGTGCAGTCAAGCCAGCATTCACAAAATGCACAAACTCATAACGAAATATTAAAAGCGCATGCACATCACACAACTCTTAGTAACCACCCCCACCATTTCTCTTGTATAATGTATGTGCGCCTAGTCCACACACACACAATGTTGTTCATTGGTGACGTAACTCCGACAAGAATGTTTATATATAAAATATAAAAGTGGGCAACAGAAAATAAACACAATATTGATAAGAACATCTTTCAAATTCACAAACCTGTGATTCTTGATGTTCCAATGATTTTAACTGACCCATAGTTCCATGTATAATTGACTGAAGCTCTTTTAATCGACTTTTTCAAAGGATTTACAACACATGGGAGGTTTTTTTCACGCACGCCAAGAATAATATTATTATAACATGCCCGAATTAATTAATTACAGGTAAAATATGAGCATGCATCAATGAAAAAAGAAAGAAAGAATGTAGGGAAGAGTGACACATGTAGACATATACATGCATATATAATCAATTAATTGAGAATATATTATTTATTAGTAAGTGTTACACGCAAGCATATTTTGAATGAGTTAAGCCAAATCAGGACTGTATATGACGTGATACAGGCGAGGATAGGCAGACGACTTTCGTCTTCCTCTCGGAATGCTCCCCTTCACATATAACCACGCGTTCATATATATACCATCACACAGCTGATGTTCCTCACAAAAGTATGAAACCGAAGAACACCAACACGTCTGGTGTCTACAACTGGACTTAATGAACACATGTACGTCTACTTTACTGTACTGGTCATTGTCAGCCATGCGAATGCAACTCCTAACGCTGTCCTCCTCCACTGCCACATCAAGTGGATCAGACTCAGGTGGGTGGGGGTGGTGTAACCCCTTAAAACAACCACCCCCTACTTTGAAGTTGGCATCTCTATGAGCCGTTGAACTCCATTCGAACAGCTAAAACGGTCAACAGGCCCGCCCTGTGAGTACTGCTGGTACTCTACTATTTATTTATTTATTTTGAGGGTGACTAGACTTGAGACTGGACAAGATGCATCGGAAATCAAAAACAAAACCATACAAACGAGTAAATAAAACATTTAAAGCTAATTTCTGTGCATGCATTAACCTATTATGATAAACATGCTGCTTGTTTGGTTTAAAAACAATTAAATATCCAGGTAACAACACATCCTAGAGTGTGTAGCTTGTACTGTCATTATTATTATTATTGCTTCCTTTAATTCCTAGAGAAACATAGGGTCTACATTGTGTCCGGTTCTCTGCCGACGTTTTCACCTGGCTCTGTTTATATGCTTTGATTCCTCCTCCTCCTCCATATCATCTTCGAACTGACGACTGAATCGCCTCTTTCCATTTTGGGCTCCACTCGAGCAATGACCTGCTGGGTGACGGTTTGTTTTCTCAGAGGATGGGCCAATCCAATCCACCTCCATTTCTTCTTGCATATTTGTTCCACAACTGATTGGTTGCTGGGTTGGTTCGTTCACTGCCAGAGATTCATCCCTGTTGCTTATCCTTTCTGACCATCTGATCTTGAGTAGTATTGAGTGAAGACAGCTATTGATGAATGTCTGCGGTTCGAAGTTTGAGGTGCTCTTCATGACGCGGTGCCAAGTCTCTGATCCGTATAGTAAGTAGCACTGACTTTACATTGGAGTTGAAAATCTGGATCTTATTTTGGATGCTGAGTGCTGTTGACCTTCACACAGACTTGAGAGTAATAAAAGATTAGCTTGCTTTCCCGATCGTCGTCAGTTCTGTGCGCCTGTATCTGAAACGATGCTTCCCAGGTCGGTAGGTGGGTAAAGGAGGTTGCTTCTTTTAGACTCCTTCCATTTATGCTTCAGTATTTCTGCTTTCGTCGGACTGTTGGTTTCCACTGGTAGTTCTGCTTCCTCTTGAATAGCAGTGTGACCAATTACATATATCGCAAAGAGAGGAAATGAAGACTAAAAAAGGCAATGTGCGACTAATCACTCTTAAACTAAAGTCTCAATATGAGGTGTTTATGATTTACTCTAAATATCTCACTGCGTTCCACAGTTCACGTTTAGAGTCTCCGCCTTCACAACCTAATGAATATCTTGTGGTGTGCTGGGCTGGGCTTTAAAGTCGTGGCATTCAATAAAATAGCCAAGAGGTTAGAGACACTGCTGAAAGGTTGAGTGAAAGCTACTTACGATAGCGTGAAGGTAGTGTTGGAGAGAAGACCTGAGAGTTACTGAATGATGCGAGAGAACTAGTCAACGTAGCAGGACAATCCATGAGCATTGGATAAGCCTTCGGAAGTAATCACACAGGCTAGTGAGTAGTAAGTACAACGGTTGCCACTGCAATACAGTCGCCAGAAAGTGAATCAATATGAACAACTGATTTAAGATTTTTGTAGAAGACATCATACACATAGACAATATACTACCCACAAATTCTTGTTAGTGGCACACATCAGTCTGATTAGCCCTCGTTATCACACAATAAGTGTGTGCGTGTGCGTGACTTGTAGCTGGGTAGATGACTTCTAACATAATTATAATTTCTTTGGAAATGAATGAAATAACGTAGTTAGAATGCATAAACCATCACAACATGTGCGTCGGTGGTATAGCGGCTGGGACGCTCGCTGACCATGCACATGGTCCGATCCCCGGGACGCACTCCTCCTTTACGTCGCTAAGCCAGAAATAATGTTGCTGAAGAGGAAAGGTTGGGCATGAGGCTAGCAACCCCACCCTGTAAAATAAACACTTCTACAGAAACTTTAAGCCACTAGCTTGAAGGCACCCCATGTTCCACTGGGGAACGTGAAGGGGAAAAAGTAACGACATGCATTGAAATGTCAATAAATAGTCAGACAGTAAAAATAAAAACTGGCATAGACCTTAGACATATGCACACCAACTGTTGACACTACATCACCCACAATAATTACACTAACTTTTGTTCAGATAATCACCAATATGAACAGATGGACAGAACCCCCCCCCCAGACGATGGTGATGCTGATGAATAGTGTTCACAAGAGAGATAACCAAGTGATTTCAGTTAGACAAGTATTGAAAATTAGCAGGCGGCCGGGGGGTAGGGTGAGGGTACTGGACAGCTATCTCATCCTTGCTTGGGACGACTCCTTATCATCAGTGCGTACGCATGACCTTAAGGTGACAAGACCAGATTTGTTGATAATTTAGCCAATAGATCCACAAACTGCAACTTATACCACCAAGTGTCACCGGCAAGTATTTGTTCTCACACCCAACTTGTTATGGAGCTGAGCAGTAGTCACAAAACAAGGCGGAAGCAGTTGACGGCTATCCGGTAACAATACAATACCCCCCTCCTGCTAGTTTTCAACGCTCCTCTCTCTAACTGAAGTCAGTTTCTTGGTCAATGTTGGTCAATTCACAAACAAATAACCTGCAAAAATAACCAAACCAGTACTAGCTGAGGATATCGCTCAAAAACAGCCTAAACAGTGTTTCAGTATCTGTGAGTAATAGCAAATACACCCACTTAAAATGTATGTATGTATCATGATGACATATCGTTACACAAAAACACTACACTAAAACTAAAACTAAACTAGACTAGGCTAGACTACACTGCTAACACAATAACAGCACGCAGAGTCACACACAGTCACACATATGCACATACTAGTGTATGCACAGTGCAATAGATATGTATGTATGTATATAGGTGTATATATATACTGTGAAATAATCGATCACCCATTTCACCAGTAAAATCTAATCATCATCTTAAATATGTCAAGAGTAAAGCAATACCTTTCTGCAGCTTCAATTCGATCCTCGGCGTGAGATAAAGCAACTTCAGCGACAGCAAGTTTTCGTGTAGCCTGGATGATGATGATGAATAACAGAGCCAAGGCGCGTAAAATAGTGACGATAACAACAACAATATTGGTTAAACACAACCACCGCGACAGCAACAGGAATGGATGATGCACGATAACCACAGTGTATGTGTGTATATGCAGTACGCGCGTAAGTCGATATCATTTTCGATGGAAAAACAAAGCATGTAAAAATAAATGTTTAAAGTTTTTAAGCATCGGTAACATGCCTTAATTCAATTACTAAAAAAAACGCGCACACAAAAAAAATATAAATAACAGTTGACAAAACATACACACGAAACAAAGAGAGAGACAGCTTGCAAAAATAATAATAATAATATGCTTTGTTGCGATTACATCACAGCATGCGTGTGACACAACATTTGCGTATATAGCACTGGATGTAAAACAAGTAGGCGTATGTCAGTGAATGCACTGTACTACCTTTCGGCAGCTTCCAACCGGGATTCAGCTCGTTCCAATTCCACCTCGGTGATAGCCAACTTACGAGCTGCCTATAAGAAGTTAGCGGTTTTATGTATTGATATATACACACACAGACATACAAATAAAATTTAATCTAAACGTTAAACAATTTAAATAGAATATTCTTTTCATCACAGAACGACCTAGTACGGACGAGGGTAGGTAGACTTCAGTGTTCCCATCGACATGTTCTCCCAAGTGGCTAAGCGTCCATAACCTCTGCGCCTTCACGTGGCGGCGAGGTGGCCTTCATGAAAGTGGAAGGGCAAATATGAACACATCTGACGCTTACAACCTAACTCCCGACCAAAAAGCTGCTACCTTGACGTGGTGGTCGAGCTTGAACACCGCAATGACCTAATCAAGCTATACTAGCTGAGGCTTATGTCTCTTGAGGTCCTACCATGCCAAAAAGGTTGTTTGGATAGCGGTTAAACAAAAAGCAGCTACCCAATCCAACATTATGATAAATACAAAATCACATAATTTCATGCCGGATCGGCCGTGGCCCAGATTAACAACGACCGCGCTTCCTGCTACCGTGTCAGAGGGCAGGAGTGATAAATATGCTACTGAGACACACAAAACAATAACGAACAAAGAAAAGCAGGCCGCGTGTGATCGGCCTCAAGCAATTGTCCCCTGGGCTCTGTGGTCACGCAACCAACTTCCACGGTGTGGGCAGCCGGGAAGTAACAATCGCCCTCACAATCCGAAATGCACACGAAACCTCTCTACAACCTAACTGGTCGACAGGCTGATCTGCACCCAGGGCAAGGGGGAGATGGGGAACTCTAATAACACAAACCTATGATGGTGTACATGGGTCCAGAATCCGAATAGGATAGAATGGAGTATTATGAATCTATTTTGGTCACCGAAATCCTCGGGGTACGCACAGTTCCACTGCCTTGTGGACCAGACTTCAAGTCAGTCCAGGCGTTTGGATAGTAGTAGCCCAGCCATAGGTACAAACTATGAGATTTTGTATAGCGCATCTTATGGCGCCCATAATGTACCAAGTTCGTGTCTTAATAAATAAAAAAAGTAAAACAGGTGTGTTGCATCAGATGTTTCTAAAGAGAACACAGACTACCAATAACACTATGCAATAGTAATAGCTTACTAGAGGAATGTTTCCTTCAGACTGGTTAGCTATAATAAACACAGACACTATTGCAATTACTGCAATTACACGTCATTAGTTACTAGTGTCCAATCAAAATGCCCACTACAATCCTACAGGAGATCAATGGCGAGCCCAAATAGCTAGCCCAGTGGTAACGTCTCTGATTGCAGACGGCACTGGCTGGTGACGCGGGTTAGAATATCAGAAGGGACATGAGTTCCTTCAAGGCGGTTGCAGATACGCCTGCCTTGCTGACCGACTGGTGAATGCCAACTAGCACGAAACCTAGGTGTAGCCAAGGCTTCCTATGGCCGATCGCCTCCAACTATCTAATATCAACAACAAGCATAAATTGACTGAGTATTATGCCTTCAGCAGACAGACAGCTAGCTACCCTTAAAGGAAATCATTTCCTTAACTTTGTCCGAAAAAAAAATATCTAGCTGCCGCCTGTTTAGCAAGCGGAGATCATATGGCAACACATCCAGAAGGTTCTATATCCAGAAGAACCTGTAAAACACATAAAACTACCCCTCCCCCCCCGCCAGCTGCTCCCGCCCACACCTACTCTCTCTAGCGTTCAATGCTATTCTATGCACTAGCAAGTTCCCCAAGAACTAACCAGTCGACGAAATTACAGATATTGTAATATTGTTTCAAAAATATCATGCAAATACGACATGCAGTTAAACACCAAAGTGAAAATATAGTTTTTAAAAAAAGAAACGGCATGAACTTAACGGACTACTACTAACTGTCTGTCTATTTTCGACATAGAACTTTGCACAAATGTGCGGAAGTTCAAGTCGCCACACTCCGTGTAGCACGCGAAGCAAGAGAAGAAAGTATAAGAAAAGCATAATAGAAACAGTGAGCAGAGGTGTGAGACAAAGGAGTAATAACGAAGAACAAAACAGTTTCATTGGAGATCATAAATCACTACTAACGCCCTTAATCTAACAGAATGACTAGATAATTTATGTACCAACAGTTGTGACCATTCATTCATCTTTAACAAAATGTTTTCAATCATTCTTTACAGTTTATGACTATTAATACTATTATTATTATGATTAATGATAATCTCTACTCTCTCTATATATATATCTTCACCCAAATCCATCTAAGTTAAATGTTTTAAATGCAGCAGCATGCAAGCGTGTATACAAAACACCCACACGTTTATATACATTATTAACTATTATAAGGCATGCGCGTGTATAAGACTTATGATTGACTAATGCACCTCATCGTATTTTCGATCCGCATCTTCTGCCATAAAAGTGGATTCTTTTAATTGTTCTTCTAACTGATTGATACGCTCTTCATCTGCGATAGTACGATTCTCCAGCACTTTACGACCACTATTCGAAAATACACACATACATACATACACAGAGAAATAGAGAGAAACAGCCTTAATCTTAGAGAAAAATAAATGAAAATATTAAGCGTGAAATATACAAAAAGTGAAATGATTTTGGAAATACCTCCTCGTATTTTGCTTCTGCATCACTGACAGATTTTGCTGTCCGCGTACCATAGACTCCAAGTGTAAAATTCGCTCGTCTTCTGCTGTCTGACGCGCTTCAAGTACTCGACGAGCACTAAGTTACATACATGAGGGGGAGGTATAGTATTAATGGTAAAGTGGTGAAAACATCAACAACAGCAACAACAACAACAACTAAGCAATAGTACGAAAATGCCTTTATTTTTTAAATCAGGTTGAATGACTGACTCTACAGGAACAACAGTGGAGAACAATGGCTCATTAAGGCTTAAAGCAGTCAGTCGGTCTGAGAAAGGCGTCTTTTCTGTACTTCCAATGTACATAAACACTTGGGGCTAACAAAGGAAAGGTATGATGTCTATTTCTGGACACATAAAGAAAGTTCTCTGACCAAGTGGAAGTCAATCCCTTTTTGAGCAGTGCAGTCATGTGACATTTGACTGATATAGGACATCAGGGTGAGAATCTTGAATTCCTTCAAGGTGATAAGCAAAGAGCCAGGTTTAGGTCACTTGAGCTTTGCGAACAACTTTAGCAAACGGTTACAAACCTGATTTGTGTACTGCACCTTGGTAACTTGGAAATTAAGTGGTCAAATAGTAGTCAAATGTGCGCAAACGAGAGTTGGTCTAAGCGCCAGACTTCCAACTAGTAGGTTGTGAGTCCAAACTCTGCTCCACCTATTGAGGTTTGGGCAGCCGAGTAGTATTACTAGTCCTTCCACTACAGATGTAGCTAAATGCTAACTGCAAGTAATTGCAAGTAGTTGTTAAGTAACATTATAACTTCAATTAACCAAGCTCATTGCTACAAGCTTCCAGAATCATTTTTTTTCCTTCACGTTCCCCAGTGGAACATAGGGCTTCAAACTAGTGGCTTGAAATGTCTGTAGCAGTGATGTTTATTTTTTTACAGAATGGGGTTGGTAGCCTCATGCCCAACCTTTCCTCTTTACCAGCATCATTTCTGGCTTAGCGAGGTAAAGGAGTGCGCCAGTCAGGGATCGAACCCCGGACCATGTGCATGGTCAGCGAGCGTCCTAACCGCTGTGCCACCGACGCAATCTAGAATCATAGCTTTCACATTGTAGTGACGTTTATGGAAAGAAATTACGCCCAGACTATTGTATAACTGAACAATAAATACGTGAATCCTGTAACTGAGTACTACTGGTTACACGTAAATAAAAGTAAGGTCGTCCCATGGTTCATACAATATGAATTTACGTCAATAAGTTGATTCGACTTTCAAAAACATTCCTTTGATAAACTATGTCAATCTGGCGTCAGATGTTATCGAAAGACAGGCAGGAAAAATTCATAGAACTACAAGGATATATGGATAAGGATACATGAGAGAGGTTAGTGAGGATTTCAGGAATATGGATAATGTCACAGTCAGTGCCTTTGATCTATCATGAACGAATTTGAGCTGTATTAATCTTATCCTTGGCGACCTAACGCCGCCAGAGAAAAGCCAGAGACTTCAACAGCTTTACCTTCTTACGTAAAACTAGTTCTAACGGCATTATTAATGGCTAAATCAACAATACACTGAAAAGATGAATACCAGCGGTACGAAAATAAACACCGCCAAACATTTGCCTTCAACTGCCATATGTTGACAGATGCAAAGTAGGAAAAGAGGAATGCTAAATAGTACACACGCCCTTAGGTGGATAATCAAAGTTGCCTGCTTCACGCTTGGACTTGTCTAGCGTCAAGTGTACTGAAATATCACTCTGGGGAGGAGGAAGTCGTAAGCAATAAAGAAAAATATGCCAATGCCAGCTCTCTTTTAGAAGCTTGACGAAGCATTAAGGATAACAATATGGTAAATGAGAACCACTCTGTGAAAGTTCATGTGTATATACTTATAAGCACTGAGCAATACTGAAAGTTTAGTCAAAATTAACGCCATACAATACATACATAATACAGAAATTTAACTAACCGGTCACTTTCATCAGCAGCTTTGCTAGCCTCTTCGAGCTTTAAGGTTGCTTCTTGGAGCCGTGTTTCCGTCGATTCCAATTCATCCTCTAGTTGCCGGATACGTTTTTGTAATGCTGAGACTTCTGTTTCTGCCTGGAAAGAGATAATATGATAGTCAAATCCATTAGAAAACCCTACAATTACACACATCCCTAAAAATAATATACCTTGATTTTATTTTCCTCCTCTTTCTTCAAAGTTGTCTGTTTACATGATACCTCTTGTCTAAGCTGATCTATCTGAAGCTTCATCCCTTGCATTTTTGACTTAACGGCACATATCACAGGACTAGACATCCTCACAATGCAGTTTTTAATCAACAACCAAAAAGTAGAAAAGTAATCAAATCACGCGGTCAAAATATTGGTGCAAATAAAGCATCCTCACCTTTCGTAAGGAAACTTTGACAACATTTTGTAGTTCAACACCGATGATGGCCAATTTGATAAGGGTTCCTGAATTGAGGTAAACAGCTGATAACGCTTCATCCATAGCAGTGTCATCATCAACGACAATCGAATTGCGTCTCCGTTCAATATATTCATCCTCATCACTTTGGCTCCCATAGTCTGAATACAGCAGTTCGGTAGACTGTTCAAACAGATCGCTTCGACGTTCTGAGTGTCTGCTCAATACATCTTGCTCCTGTCCCTCAGGTTCCAATCTAGGACCTAATAAGTCTAAGGAATCTGTCCCATGTTCATTCGATCCATTGTTTTCACTGCAAAACCTCCAGTTATAGGGGTTCGAATGAAAGCTTGATCTTTCTGGCTCTCTCTTGGTCGTTTTCTTCCTAAACTTTTTATATTTCTGGTACATAGTTCCTTGCAATCGACTTCGTGTTGATGCCACAGCTACTGTTTCCTCTAGGAATTCTTTGAATTTGCAGCAAATTGCAGCTTCTGGATTAAATTCTGATAATTTTTCCATTGCCAAAATGTTTTCTGTGTGAGTTTGATTCTTCTACATTAGTGAGATATGTATGAAATTGGCAGTATCAGTAGTCTCAATGACTATATTTTGCAGAATTCTTACATATTCAGAAAAACGCTCGACATATTAAGGATTCTCCTCTGATTACATGAATTCCATCCCATACTGGTGTGAAATTTAGGATCATTCTCAAATTCTAAAGAGGCGATATTTTGATAAAGACACAAAGCGTTCTTCTACCACTCACTGTGTCGTTTAATAGATTCTGGCCTTCACGATCAAGGGCTGACACAATTGAATCTACCTCTTCCGGTGCTCATAGGACTACTGTAAATGTCAAATTACACTATATTGTCTGTGGGAAGTCCAGCACGATGTTACCTAAGACTGACTTTAACTATTCGCGACTAACATACTTTTACATCTTCAGCACTTTATCTCCCTATTTGTGGGTCACCATATGTTTCAGTCCGCACAGATAAACAAAGTGATCGTTAGTGGCGAAACAGCCGAGGTTCAATTGACCTGACGAACTTCTTTGCCCCCACTACAACGATAATGCTCAAACAGGGAAGCTATTTCAGCCATAAAAGTGTATTGGTGGCTCTTACAGAGTTCCACACTGATAAGTCGACAATGGTGATCATCTTCTACAATTCCGTCGAGATAATCATCTCTTTCTCGTCATCGCTAACATTGAACAGAAATATTGACCTGTACCATGGAATTGACAATAGACTTAAATGCATCACACAGAAATAAGCTACTAATGGACAGGATCGTTAGGAAACTACCACTTCTTCCAAAACACTTGTGAAAACTCCGATCTCACATGAGTCCGTAAACTTTGTACCTACGACTGAATAAACATGGCAAGCAGGTAGCTACAAAACCATTCGTTCACAACCTCTAGATGAGGAAGCAAAGTTTTTGCCTGGGGAAGAACTGACTAAATGTGCATTGAGGCTTACAGCAAGGCACATCTTGAGGATGTCTGGAATTATATTCATTCAGCTGCTGGGGATCTAAAACTGAAAGTTAGTAAGTGACAACGGATCTCTGATGCTTCACCCGAACTGACAGACACAAGAAGACCGATTCTACAGGACTCCGAACATGACTAGAAGCTGTGAATATGCTCAAGTACAAGCAGGCTAAAAGCTTCCGTAACGGCCGTGGGCAGTGTTGAGTGACAGTAGTCAAAAAGACAGAAAAGGTACGAAGGATCTATCTTAAATCATTGGAGAGGAGGGTTGTAAAACACAGTATTAAACGAAACGATTCTGAGTAAAGGTGCTTAAATTAACACTTGAATATTTGCAGGGGAAATTTCTATAACTTACAACCACGTTAAGTTAGACCAGCTAGCAACGCCCACCTGAGTCAGATGTTAACATCGTCCTCCAACTGCGATTAAGATTCATGAAACTGCCTTCAGTCTGAAACAAAATAGAGCAGCAAGCCCTGGAGGAATGACTTTAGAGATGTCTAAGGACTTTAGTGAAAAATTACTGCAGGAGTTTACTAGGATACTGGGTAGTGTGTAGGAGTCTAATAAAGTTCCACCGAGCTAGAAGAAATCATTAATCACCTCAGTATATAAAAGCTGAGATAGTCTTCCTGTGGGGAGATCAGTTTGGCCAGAGTTCCAGACCCAATAATCATGTTAATTTGTGAAGTGCTCAGGATTAACAAACCGGACAGAGTTTACACCAGGACTAGGTTGTATTAGTCACATATTCACCCTCTGACAGATTCTGGAACATAATCACATTTACCAGTGTCCATCATTCCCTTAACCTGAAAGGTTAAAAATACTATAGCAACGTCTGACTGTGAAGGAATTGCCAAGAAAGTATACCATACCATGCAAGGCTATCTACTCGGATTAGTGCAACTATAATAGAGCTGATGGAAAGTTCTGATGACAACCAGCCTTGCCTATCAATGTTACCTGTCGTCTCCGTTTTTCTTGAATTTCAACACGGATATACCATTGTACGACAACGTAGTCGACCTTGGAGACTTTGAGATAGGCTTGTTGGTAGGATTAGTCCCATCGACTTATAGCATGAAGACGATATTGTCCTTCTTTTTGAAGATGGTAACAAAGCGCAGCCTTCTAAACACCTTTAGCAGAAAACTGCAATTCGTCCCTGTCAGATGTGGCATGAGGCTCCGAGAATGACATGAATCCTCCGAATCTGAATATGTGTACTGAAGTGCTCAAATGAGTTGATTACCTCAATTATTTGGGAATTTGCATCACCTTCAGTTGGCTGGCTACAAATGGGGCATAAGTACACGCACGAAAGGCTTCTGTGGCACTTACTAACCAACGCCATCTCTGACTCAGCCATGATGTCCAACTGATGATCACAGAATGTGTGTACTGAGTGGCAGTTCGCTTCGTCCTTCATGACTGCGACATGTGGTATTTGAAAATGGAAATCATGAGGTGGCCAACTGCATGTAGCCACAGGCATGGTGATAAGGTAATGATGTATGGAAGTGGATTAACTTCGACCCATAAAATAGCCATTAATAATCCCCTAAAACTGTTAGCACACAGCCTTCTTCAATTCATTACTAGCCACCGACCTGTACTGTTTGAGTCGACCAGTCAGACTGAAGGTGCACGATCAGGAATCCTCACCATTAATCAAACTGTTGTATTACGTCTGGTTTTCTGTAGACGCTGTAGTTATTTAAGCAAACATCCCCATTTTGATCTTCTGATCACGGTTTACGTTTAATATTCTGGATATTCAAACTGTGGTCCTGGTCAAGTTTTCGAAAGGTTCTCTGGCTATATAGAATAGGTACCTCCTGGGTTGAAGAATATGTACTCGCTTCAACATACAAGTGTATTTTGAGTACTCACTGACATCCCTCCTCCTCTAGGAAGCCATAAAATCCTCCAAGTAATGGCTTGTTGCCGGTCCTGCTTTCTAATGACAGTGTCCGGTAAGAAGTCTCGCTTATTTTCATAACTTCAAGCGACATTAAAGTATATACGGATTAGACAGAAATGATAGTTGAAATATTAAATCAGATCACAACGTCAGTAAGTTAGTTTTCAAAACTGACGTGTTTTGTGGCTTCCTACATATCGTATAATCATCAGAAGTTCCATAGAAAAGCAATTCGGCTACGAATCCGACTACACATCAAAGATAACCACAGAGTACATTTAGGCCTATTAGATTTGTGGAGACCCAGTTGATTTGAAGGCAGATTTCCTTACCAACTGTCACGATTCACCGAGCGATTGAAAAGTGATGAATGTAGGGAACCAAAACATTCGTATAACTAACTCTACTTCAGCCAGTTTTCCTTCAGCTGCCGATTCGCTCATCTGCATTGATGGAGGCAAACTACAGACAACTGGATTTCAATAACACAACAGCTCACCTGCTGCTTTCCCATGTATTTATTGCGCGTTCCCATGTTCTATCCACGCTACTGCTAATAAGTGCTAGCTTGAAGTGCCGTAGGTATTATGGTTAAGTTCAAATTTTAAAAAATACAGGCAGGGACGCCTTAGTGACCCTGGAACAAAGGATTGCGCCAAAAGGTATACTTGAGACCCTGGCCTTAATCTATCCCCAATCAACGCTAAAATCTCCTGATGAGGTCAGCTTAACTCCAATCAGTCCTCAGCCTAGAACTAACCTTAATCTTTCCCTAACCTAACCAAAAGCTAACCAGATATCCCGTTTAACCTCGATACACTTCACTCAACACTTTTCTTCATGAATACAGAGTGACTTTCCATGTCTGACTGCTTTGCTCTGAATGAGTGTCTCTAATTCATTTGAGTTCTGGAGCCTGCTGAGAGTCAAAAGTCTAAACTCACTGGTGATCTGCAGCCTTCACTGCTTTGGGTGGTATTGAGAGCACCTAGATCATCAGACTGGATAAATCCCGCTAAGGCGTCAGCAAGCAGTGTGACCGAATCTCGGATCTAGCAGGATAGATGACACCCAATAATCATGACTGTTATGTCAAGTTAAGACCAATAAGAAGACGAGTTCAGACAACGCAAATGATTGATCTCCTGAAACACCACAAGCAAATCTTTCATGTAACATTAGGTTTTGATAAAATGAGGGTGCGGTTATTTGTTCGCCTTAGAGCCTGAAGGTCCTCGTCACTACCCTCAGTAGGACGATTTATCAACCTAGATCACCTTGGTGTCCAGTAGTTATTCGGCTGGTTTTAGTTTACGGAGTAACATTACTATCTCTTTAACCTCGCCAAATTACTAGCTTGCTAGGCTACTAGCTTACTAGTTTTCTAGCCGGTCCCAAGCCCGGATAACGAGGGAGGGTTGGGGCGTGGTGCTAGCAACTCCACCCCTGTAAAACAACCAAATCGCTACAGAAACTTCAACGAATAAATATATTAAAAATTCTAAAACATAAGCAATAGCCTTATTTTTCGCTGGAATCGGGGAAGTGAAATGACGCAGGCTGGTGAAAGCCTTCGGGAAGCCAGTCAGCCGATGTGCCTTCTTTCGATGAAAGCAAAAGTAAGGATGGGTACCTGGAATGTTCGTGCAATGTACGAAACTGGAAAGGCTGCCCAGATAGCCGCTGAAATGAGAAGGTACAGAATAGAAGTGTTGGGAATCTGCGAAGCAGATGGAACGGAACTGGAAGGTGCCAACTACCAACTGGAGAGACAGTAATCCATTCCGGCCACTCAGAGGACAACCATGAGCACACCGAGGGAGTGGCCATCATGATGTCACCAACATCAGCCAAAGCTCTCATGCAGTGGGAACCAATCTCCCCCAGGATAATGACAGCCAGGTTCAACTCAAAAGGAAGGAAAGTTACAGTCATTCAATGCTATGCGCCTACAAACGTCTCAGAACAAGAGAAGAAGGAGGCGTTCTACAGACAACTACAAGCAATAATGGACAACGTCCCAAATGGCGATATCAAAATCCTGATGGGTGACATGAATGCGAAGCTGGGAGGAAGACAATACAGGAAGAGAACTCACCATGGGTCGTGAGGCCCTCGGTGAAATGAACGACAATGGTGAACTCTTCTCAGACTTCTGCGCCTTCAATGATTTGGTGATTGGTGGAAGTGTGTTCAAACACAAGGATATACACAAGACGACATGGATTTCACCAGATGGAAACACCAAAAGCCAAATAGACTTCATCTCAATTTCAAGAAAGTGGAGACGAAGCCTACTGGACACAAGGTCGAGGAGAGGAGCAGATGTGGGTTCAGACCACTATCTAGTACAAGGGACTTTCAAGGTGAAGCTAAAAGCCTCGAGGATAGCTGGGGATAGGCCACAATGCAAGTTCAACACTCAATTACTGAAGGACACAACCACAAAGGACACTTTCACTGCAACTGTCAGAGCAAAGCAGGAAACACTACGCGACATCACTGAAGAATCATGCGTGGAAGAACATTGGAAGTCTCTGAAGGCGATTCTCAACGAAACGTGTTCAACGGTTCTAGGAAGAAAGAAGAGACAAGACAAGGAATGGCTCTCAACGGACACTTGGAAATTAATAGAAGAGAGGAGAATGGTGAAAGAGAAAATGATTCAATGCAAGGACGGACAGGAGAAGGAGACGCTGAGCTCAACTTACAAAGCACTGGACAAAGAAGTGAAGAAGAGTGCTAGGAAGGACAAAAGACGATTCTACGACAACCTCGCCACTGAAGCTGAGAAGGCAGCAGGCAAAAGGGACCTGAGGACATTTATCAGATAACCAAATCTCTATCCGGGAAGAGATCAACACAAGCGAAACCTATAAAAGACAGCCAAGGGAACCCAATTACCAAGGAAGAAAAACAGATTAAACAATGGGCGGATCACTTCAAAGGACTCTTGAACCGACCATCACCTGCAACCCGTCCAGAAATACCAACAACAGCGCACACAACTGCAAGTTGACACCAATCCTCCAACGAGAGCTGAAGTCTTGAATGCAATCAAGCTTCTGAAAGCTGGAAAAGCAGCAGCTGGACCAGATGGAATACCCCCTGAAGCACTGAAAGCGGACCCAGAGACTACAGCAGACATGCTGACTCCATTATTGCAAAAGGTCTGGAAGGAGGGAAAGGTGCCTACTGACTGGAGGAAAGGTTACCTCGTGAAACTACCAAAGAAGGGAGACTTACGCCTCACTCTGCAAGAACTGGCGAGGAATCATGCTCCTGTCGACGCCAAGTAAAATCCTGAGTCGCATCATCCTGGAGAGAATAAAGGACGCACTGGATACAGAACTCCGACCAGAACAAGCTGGATTCAGGAAAGGCAAATCATGTACTGACCAAATTGCAACTCTACGCATCATCATCACAGAACAAAGCATGGAATGGCAATCAAACCTCTACCTCAACTTTATAGACTTTGAGAAGGCCTTCGACAGACAGCGTTGACCGCGAAGTAATTTGGAAACTACTCGAGTACTACGGCGTGCAGCCCAAATATTCATCAACCTTATTCAACAGCTGTACGACAACGGCACATGTCAAGTGATCCACAACGGAAAACTCAGCGAGGCGTTTGGAGTAAACACAGGAGTCAGACAAGGCTGCTGCCTATTATCACCAATGATATTCCTAATTGTGGTGGACTGGATTATGTGTCAGACAGTGGTGGGAAACGAGAAGAGAACAGGGATATCCTGGACAGACGTGAAGAACCTAGAAGACCTGGATTTCGCTCGTGGATGATTTATGTTTGATGTCACCACAAAGTCGAAGACTTACAAGCGAAAACCGACCGACAAACTGGTCGAAGAAGCAGCCGGAGAAGTTGGGACTCCAAGTGAACATAGACAAGACGGAGGTTATGAAAATAACCAGCCAACAACAACAGCAGCAGCAACATCCAGCGCCAATCACCATCAACGGAAGGGATTTGAAAGAGGCTACTTCATCCACTCATCCAGGGAGAATTGTCTCAACTACAGGAAGTTAGAACGGACGAGGATGTCAAATCGAGCAAGAATCTGGAAGGCGAGAAACACATTCATCATCAACCTGAAACCAATCTGGAAATCTTCGTCACTCAGCATCAACAAAATTCGATCGGATTTTCAATAGAAACAACGTCATGTCACTCAGTTCTTCTATACGGATCAGAAAATTGGCAGAGGGGTCACAAAGAATATTTCTAACAGCCTGTTGCAGACCTTTATCAACAACTGTCTTCGCTGGATTTATACTGAAGATCAGATGGCCAGGCCGGAGAGAATCACCAACAAGGAACTATGGGAACAAAGAAAGCAAGAACCAATCGCCAACCAACAAATATGCAGGAGAATGTGGAGATGGATCGAACACTCGCTGAGGAGACGGCTAGGTGACATCGCGCGCGTCAGGCTCGAGTGGAACCAGGCCGAAAGGGAAGCGGCGAGTGGGACGTCAGTGCGAGGGTGACATGGAGGAGATCGTGTGGTGAGGAGTTGGCTGAAACAGTATGGACTAACTAACATGGATGCAGGTGAAAAGTACAGCAGAAGAAAGACGGAAGTGGCAAGTGGAGATGTGCAGTTGAAGCCCTATGCTCCACTAGGAACCCAATGAGCAATAATAATATTATAATAATAATTACTATCTCTTTACGTATCATGCCCTTTTTAAGTTTTTAACAAAGTCTAATCGTTTAAGAATCCAATAAACGGACAGCTTCTTTAAAACAACTGAACACTCATAACTTAGTGTTTATCACTGCAAGTAAGTTGCGTCATATAAAATCTAATTGATGAATGTCACCCACCTAACTACATGGAGTGTCCGACGCTGAGATTTCGCCAAAACGGTCCACATCTTATCCCTGGATCTTTACGAATATAAACATGTAATCGACAGTACTAGTTCAGAACAGTTTGTGAGTTTTGTAACAACATTAATATGCAATATCGTTGACCTTAGATTTCACCCTAGATGTTTGAAATCAATACACAAGGATCACCTGACCTAAGTTTAATAATTCTCAACATAAGTTGGCAAGGCCTATCTGCACCTAGCATAAGGAGAGAAGTCTTGTTAATTTTTCTTTCCTCTGCTTTCCCAGTGAAGCAGGGCTTCAAAACTTGGAGTTTCAGTAGGCGTGGAACTGTCTTCATGGGGTGGATTGATGTGCTAGTCTCACGTCCAAACTCTCCTCTTTTCCGAGCTTACTATCCCCCAGTTAACTAGGCCTAATTTTGTGGTGTGTTGGGCCGAAACTAAAGCCAAACTTAATGTGCGGCTGGTGAAATTAGAACCACTGACTCATTCCGACAAGCTACTGCTGATTTCCACCGAATGATACTTCAAACTTCTCACTTAAAAATGCATTCACTATTGTTTATGACTGCTGTACGCTCACGTAAGTGTAGAAATTTGACATTTTGAAGTCTTATACATCAAAAATACCAAGCTATAGTAGCTTGGTTGACCTGTGTGAGTGCATGAAAAAGTTATTGTGCATTCTATATTTAAGGCAGTGCGCATCCTCCATTTCGCTGCTAACGACTACCAGGCAGACCACAGATAATACCAAAGTTTCAAGTAGCCTTTAAGCCAAAAGAAACCAACCAATTCGATTCTATAAAGCCACTGCCTGAAAGACTACAGCGTTCAGTAAAAATTTACCACAAAATCTTCAATGTGTAGTCAAAGCATCTATTATCAGAAAAGATAATGGAGAGTCACTTACCTCACTTGCTCTTTTCTCTGTTTCTTCTAATTTTGTGTTTGTTTCAACCAGTTGAGTTTGTGCAGTCTCTTTGTCAGTATCAATTTGTTGAATCTTTTTGACTACTTCAGCAGCCTCTTCATCTTTTGTTTGCATTTCCAACTCTTTTTCACGTAATTTTGCCTCCAGTTGGTCGGCCCTTTAAGAAGATAGAAGAAAAAAGCATAGGAAGTTATTGTTTAAATTGACAACCTTTTTAAACTAGTTGATGCTTCTGTGTTTTAAAACCAGCATGATATCACAGAAGGTACTGCTTCATATGCGCATCTAGGCTTCAAGGTTAAACGTATAAATTTTCAATTCTATGATTTTTTACTTCCCTGTATGACCTACTACAAGAAGAATTCTTCGTTTTCGCTTCAGTCCAAATGGCGCCTATTCAAACTGGAACTATTCAAGGTGTTCAGTAACTTTGCTGGATTCGAACCCATTACCCAACTCTTCAAACACCAAAGCATTATTCTCCAGACTACCAAAAACAAGAACCATCTCTTGTGCTACGGGTGTGATTTGAAATTATTTTACTCATGTTTGTGATTTTCCGCTGACATGTTTGACCGAATTGATAGGATTGACCTGACTGAATGGAACTCATGATCGTATGAAGATCAATAACTTCGAGTGGTTCTACAGTTGGCTGTGTTTAGATAAACCAATGAAATTTGATCTGTTTCCTTTTTTACGCAGCCTCTGGTAGTATATAGAGTTAAGGTGCAGACAATTCTCCTTCTTGTAAGATACTAGATGTGTTATCAATATGTAACACTGTACCAGCCTTACTAAACACAATTCATCCAGTGTACCGACTTATTATGCGAATAGATAACGAAACACGAATCAAAAAGACTTTGTGACTATTATGCAAACAGCTGTATTATGAAGTAGAATTGAAAAGTGAAGTGATCTGCGGAAGAAGGTTTTCAAAGTTATCTGACTAATATGGCTGACCTTGAGATTCAGAGGATGTGAACGTTGACCAGCACTAAGGAAGGCATAAATACAATTACAATCTGATAGGAAACACACCGCTGAGATGAAACTTAAACCGCTGTAAGCCGCCGAAGGTCAGCTAGGAGTTATTTCCAGTTAATATTTAGTTGGTTCACTTTATTCGACTTATTTTCGACCTAGAGGTCCCTAAAAGCTTCGCCTTCTGGAAACTATAAATGAATGGAGATTCATCAATACTGATACTAGGCGAATCATTCCACTTGTAGCGGTAAATAATTCCCCAAAATTATTGACCACAGCAATCACTCATTGGATGCTGACCACCACTGTTTAAGTCGACTTGTTTAGCTGAAGGCTTCCGGTCAAGCATCCCCGCCATTTGGTACCCCGTCGTGTAACGTGCACGATCACTAGCTAGCTAAGCGTTCGTCTATCGGCTGGTTTTGGTTCCTAAATACATTTCTTCGTTTGGACGACCAATTATTGGCTTTTGCTTTGTCTTTGGTACGCGAGAATAAATTAATTAGAAGTTGTTGAGCGAGATATCACGTCAAACCTTTAATATCCGTCAACCTCTAAACACTGATTTTCTTCGTACATCGAGATTTTGACCGTATGTAAAACAACGAGGTGAAGTTTCTGATTGTCAGAGTGAGTATGCTGACTTGCGATCTGAAAATATGTCTAAGTAAATTATATATCGGCCAAATGCTGTCTGCAGAGCGTCCTCTCTTAACTGGAATTTAGAGAATTTCATGTTCTTCAGTCATTCAGTTGATTAGGTCATGAGAAATGTGTGAGCATGACCAAATCTTAATCAAACTGAGAGGACCATTACAATCTATAGTTTACCGCCTAAACTTTTGATACAAAAGAAGTTTTCTCAGGTAGTGTCGTCATATTACGCCCGATTGTTTCGCCTCATCGTATCATAAATGATTCGGCCTACCAAGCCGTGTGAAACCGGGTACACTGATGATGAATTCAGCCCAGATGGTGTTTAGAGTACTTCGGTCTATCTTCTACCTGATTTGGGTGGATTCCAGCTACTCGTTCCAATGCTTTTTGACTAATTTTCTTGATTATCACTCATGGCATTAATCAGGCCGCATATTGCACCAAGGATAGTTTAACTTTCCAAAAGGACACCCGGGGGGGGGGGCGAAATCTCCACCGCGAACGGTGTGTAACTTGCAGACTGCAAATTTGATTCCACAGCTCTCCCCAATACCATTCTAATGGTTAGGCAAATCTCGAAGGTGAAATGGCATAACGCTTCCTAAAAGGTTTTAGATCAGACACCTGAGGACATTGTCTACCATAAACATAAATTTGAACAATTCATAGGTTTAGTTCATCTTGGGAGAGCAATGTGCGGAAAATGTTAGAATTTAAGGCGGATTGCACGGTCTAAACATATGGTGGACGGATGTATCAGTTACACGACCAGGTTGGCGAAACCAGCCGAAACGTTGGTGATGAGTTTACTACAGACAGATGTAACACCAGATCTTTGATATTCCTGAAATCGTTTAGATGATCCTGGTACTTTGGAGTAAGGCGAATGGGCTTTATATATGAAAGATGTGGCGAAACATCTTTTTGTCTGAGGACAAAAGTGCAATATGCACTCTCTATCTATGCCTTTTCAATAGTGCTTTTATGCTTCTTCAAATGTAAGAGAACCTAAAATGAGATTTGCAGTGACCTAAGCTCTGTTGTTAAGCTTGGCCTTGAGAGAAAAATTTTTCAGAAATTAGTCGTCAATAACCTATTTGATCGGAACAGAAAAGACACTTAAGTGTAGACCCCTGGTAGCTGTTTGCTATAGCTCAATTCGAATAGACATTCTCTCTATTCCAGTAACATTCACTGACTTTGGATCATGGTCGAGTGGCTGAAATTGAAGCAGTATCACGCAAAAGACAGAGGCAACGTCAACTCCTTGTCTTTGCTATTCGCAGCTAGTGGAAGAGGAAATATTCAAAGGTTAATAATCAGGCGGAAAAAGTTTGCCCATCAGAAGGTATTTAGAAAAGATAGGCTCCTTCAAGGATATGTAGCTGGATAGTGAGGGGCGGATGAGGCAACAGTAAATAGTATCATCTATGTATCTTGTTCAGAGGTAGACTAGGAAAATCTAGGCTGGTTTTGAGAGGGAGTTGTGTAATTCCTTTCCTGTCACTTGCCTTCCCTTCTTTTGTGTGAAACATCATGCTACTTACTAAAGAATAAGTAGTTTGAGTGTAATTGTTATTTTTTAACCGTGACTTTTATGCGTCACTGAAGTTCAACTCACTAACCTATTCAAGGTATGGTAATTATTTTCTTATCATTAAGCTGTATGTGTTTTATTTATTTACCTATTACCGTTGAACGTTTTTATTCGAATCAATTTGTTCCATGTCTAACATTCACACGCTGTTTAATTATACACGCCGTGCGTCTTTGGCATAGCTTCGCTTTTTCTTAATGAGGCATATTAACTGCTCTTTTGATAGCAGTCGGCCACAGACACCTTACAATTAGACGTTTGTATATTATATTTCGCCAATTTTACATATAATATAGAACTGTGTTCCAGACAAATCCTGTGTTTTTGGATTTTAGGCGTCATTCTACATGTGGTTTAGACAATTGCTAGAATTATCGGTCTGCATTTCTTTTGGTATCTCCTACGGTTTAGAGGTAAATGATATTTTGTTGAGATTTTTAAGAACAAAACTATTCTCCTTTCTATCGTCAAATACATATAGTAGTACTTAAATGTTGCTGTACAGTTTGAATATGAAGTCACAGTCAACATTTTTAAATGTTAGTGGTGTGACATATGCTACTAACGAGAATTTGTGAGTAGTGTATTGTTTTTATGATGCATTCTAAAAGGATTTTCAGTAGGGGAAGGAGATAAACTAACTTACAAAAACGTGAAATGAAGAAAAAAGCGAAAAGAAAATGAACAAAGTATGAAATGAAGACAGAGCACGGAAGCAGAACATAAATGTTTGGTCCGATTTGGGGTTTCGTTGTGTGGAGTTTGTCCCAAAAGCTGGAGTGACTACTTTTCAATGAATACTACACACTGATTTCACTTGTATGCTTACTAATACTGATGGAAACTGAAGAAAAAAAACATTGTGGATTGACAGAAGTTAGAATTTGAAGTAGTCTGATGGATGGTGACTAGCAGTGGAATTTACCAGGATGCTCATTTCGTGACCCAAGTGGTCGTCTAGTGGATAACGCCTCGGTTTTTGAAACTATGGGTACTGGGTTTCAGCCTCTGTGAGGGGAAAATCGTCAGTCACTGTGGAATGCAGATACGTTCGGATGAAGAGTCCCAAATAAGACGAAACGCGCATCCTGATAAATTCCACTGCTAGCAACTACCCCCTAATTTACTTTACACATGAATACATATGAACATTGTTCGGAACAATATAAGTATTTCGCCTTGCACTGTGATACAATTTCAATTGACATTAATAATAAAATGATCACTATTCATTCAGCTTATAATCTTAATCCTGAATCTGTTATGTATTATTGACGAAAACAGGATAAGAAAATGATTCATGAAACTTTTGTTTAACCAAATTTAAATATGTTAGTGGATTTAAAACAACAATCCGAGAAATATATTGAACAATTACCATTGAACCTTTTACTGTGGAAACTTTAATCTTAAGTGGTTTAAATTTCAGTCAGTGCAAAAATATTTATTGATAAGAGGACAATGATAAAGCGATGTAGCTGGCAGCTGCATTTATCACTTAGTTCTATAATCTGCATTCATTAAGTCAAACGAGATCAACATTTAATTGGTTGATGGTGACTAGCAGTGGAATCCACCAGGATGTGCATTTGGTCCTATTTGGAACTCGTCAGCCAGTGGATGTACCTGCATTCCCCTATGAGTGATGATGTTCCAACGTGGCTCCACATTGATGAGGAGTTGAGGAAAATGGTGTTTTCTCCAAGTTACTACTTATAATGAATAAAAGTAGCGAGTAGAAAAGTGGAGTATTTTTATGATTTTATTCACATCCTCGAATTAGTTAGTATTCCCTTATCTCACTGTAGGTCATTCAACTATTCAATGACAGATAAACTGTGCTCATGGCTGAACTATCTATCATTAGTCAACACAACTGTAAAACTCTGTAGATGCTAGATTTCCTTCACCGC